TAAAATAAGTATATATATATATATATATATATTCTCTATTTAAGAATAACGTTATATAACATATATTTTTCTGAGGTTAATAAACAATATGATAAGCTTGTTTAAACATTAAGGTGACTTATTTCAAAACGGTTTCGATAAAATATATGTGTGTTATCGACCCCATTTTATGCCAAAAAGAGTAGGATCCAAGATTACCTTTGTTGAGATGTGGTTATAGTGTTGAATTGTTAACCTATTCGTTTATTTAACCGAGAAACGATAATTACACAAGTAAATAGTCCTGGAAGCTCGGCGAAAACTCACTTTTTACTACAACTTTATTCGTTATTACAATGTCTGAAAAATTGTTGTTCTCTTTTTTAGCACAAAGATACATATACGTTATTTGTGTTCTGTCCACTGTGGAGTACGAACCCAGGATTTTAGCCTTTTAAGTCCATAAATATAGCAATAATCTAACTGGGAACTAACTGGAAAGAGTTTAATTTTCCTCTCTTTTTTTTTGCTTGAAACTAAACATATACATCAGTTAGTTCACCAGTCTTTATTGGTGGAGGTGAGAGGTCAATACTTCTGTACCACACGGTTAAATATATTGATAATTGATACATATATTAAATTAGAAAACTGAGAAACGTATTTGAAATGAAACTCGCTTCAATTTAATATTCAATGCCTACTGATATTTTTATCTCGTAGATGTCTTTACCAACAAACGTAACTGACTGTGAATGAAGTATCTATTTTAAGTTGTAACAACGCTATAAATAGAACGTTCAGTTTAGGGTGCGGTTTAATTGGGAGAATATTTGAAACAAAAATATGAAAGTAATATTTTATTTCTTTATTTTCAATATAAGACATAGCGGTCCTAGTCTGATGTTGAATGGGTTGCGTAATGAATATTTTAGACACAGAATTAAAAGTGTACTTGGTTACGAGGCTCTTGAGTAAATGTCAAATCTATTTACGGTGGCAGGTCGTGAAATTCGCATTTCTCTCAGGCAGTTGAAAATTCGAGCAGTTGTGTGAACAGATGAGCCGTCATTTTGTCAATCGTTGAAAGTGCTACAGTACAGCGGGAACAGCTGTTAGAAGTTATAAAAATTCATAAAACTAATCATTTTGTCATAACTTCATTCAGACTGTATTTGTTTCTAATGGTGATAATGGAAACTTTTTAACCCTATGACAGCTATTCTGGTTTCTTAAATATTTTCATAATTTATCTGTTTATCGTTCCTTCTGTCTAACAACTCATCAGTCTGTTATTTTGTTAGCGATCAGTCTCTAGGCATAATATTTAACTATTTATATATTTGTCTGTTTGTTTTTCTGCTTATCTAGATCTCTAAATAACTATGATTTATTTGATAGGTTAAACCTGAAAACTTGGTGATGTGTGTTCACATCAATATGAATTTCCAATTTATTTATTTCTAAGTATTTTCATCTGTCTGCTTGTCTGTCTATCTGTTCCATACATTGAGTTATTCAAAGCATATTCTTACCTATGAGGCTAATGCCACTACTATATATAACAAAAAAAGATCTTGCTTATCAAGGAGCTGTCAGTCGAATGGGACTATTAGAGTGTCAAGTATCGTTAGTAAAAGCTGTTATCTTCTTACACCAAAGGCTTGCTTAGATTATGTTACGGCTTTGGACCATTTCTGAGTTTTATTTTCGAACATGAATGTATTATAGTTTTAATTACCGATAGAAACAGGATAAGTTTATGTTTTAACGATAACAGTATAATATTAGAATTTTCAGACCTGCTACGTAACTAAGTTGTATCATAAGTTGTTTTTGCGCCTGATAACAACAGATTTTTCTCATTGGTCTATTCATTGCAGTCTCCACTTACGCCATACCAGTTTGACTTATCATTGTTGTGGTAAACTTATAGTGACTTGCCGTTATCAGAAAACTTACATATCATCGGTAATAAAATTACAGTTCATAATAATGTTATTGTTTTTAAACAAAGAAATGTGGTGTTAAACTTTTTGTAACAGCATAATATTGATAGTCGTACTAGTTATATCAGTACTGATAGTCGTACTAGTTATATCAATACTGATAGTCGTACT